AAAAATGATCGCTTGATTAGGTATCGAGGATTGGGTAATTTCCATCAGTGATGATGTGAAATTGGGGTGCTGCAAGAATGATTTGGATATGTGTGTGTGTGTGTGTGTGTGTGTGTGTGTGAGAGTGAAGTTGGGGCATGCACACACACACACACACAGACACACACACACACACACACACCCATCCATTTGCAGTTAAATGCTGTCACATGTGCAGACACTCATACAGACCCACATGCACACCCAGAGACAGACAGTAGGCTCCCTCATCATTAATTCAGAAGCCATCACTCTCACCCTCCTTCTGGCCCTCAGAAGCTCTCGATGCTTCCCGGCAACATTATGCATATTTATTCATACATCTTCCTCGCTTCACTAAATGTCACTGTAAATGTTTCTACTTCTAATGAAGCCATTTCTTTATGTTTTTGTTCTATCTCCCTTCACCCCGCCTTCCTTCCTCCTCCTCTTCATCTCCGTTTCCCCAGTCTCCGTTTGAATGAGGAATATCCCTGAAAACGTTTCAGCTTAGTTGTTCTTTCTCTATTACCATAATGTCTCTAAACTTCAGAAGTGCTTTATTCATTCCTCTGCTAATTCCATTCACACTTAGTTTCACCTCGCCCCAAAACGCCTCGGAGGAGAAACACCGCCTTTGTTGCAATTACTCCAGACCTTGATCCGACTGAGCCTCCCCTCCCACCGCCACAACCACCGCGCCGCCTTTCAAGAGTCAGCGGTGGAGGGATTCTTCAGGGCCTCCTCTGTTTCCCATGTCTTCACCCAGAGCCTCAGAAAGTGAACATAAGAGAGCCGGCTCACCTCGGCTTCCGTTTGTCTCCTTCCCCTTTGTTTTCAAATCCATTCACCTCCCTGCTCCTCCACCTCCTGTCTCACACAAACATGCACATGTGCATTCCACATTCCCGCCCCCAAACAAAAAAAAGCCCAGGATTACGACACATTGACAGAGTTTGAAGGTGTGTCGTTTGTGCCAGCAAGCCTGCTCGAGAGAGTGTGAAACATTCTTTGGTTGGTAATTATCAACAGCTGCTGGAAATTGTGAAACAGATACCGTGCAGCAGCGTCTTTACAGTGAGAGCTGTATAGCCCCCATTCACATACACAATAACCTCCCTCCCTGTAGCTCTTTTACTGTGGTTGTCATGGAGGAGAATGTGGAACACAGTATGATTAGTAGGTAACAAGGTCTTTTAAAAAGTTCATGGTCTGCAGCTCTAATCCACTTTGTAATGCAGTGGAATGGGAACATGCATTTAAATATTCCTGCTAGTGGATGAAATACCATATTTGTCATCTCATACCGAACACGAAAGTCCAGAGTATGTCCCTGATTCACTCTCAGACAGTCAGAGAACTTAGTACACTGCCAAGATGGATATGGTGTAGCTCATATCAAAGGTTGGGGTTTTTAACACATAAATCCGAGAGCTTAAATGGCGCATGTGACAGCAGCAAGCAAGACGCAGAGTCTGACTGAGATCAGTGCAACATACGTTGGTTGATATGACATCAGGACTGGCATCCTGCACCCAGTCATTTGGGGCAGCAGGGCTGAAAATATCGGGCCTCGCTGTGCAGCTGCAATCGGAAAATGGAGGAAATCTCTGAATGGGTGGCCCAGCTTGTTCCCCAGAGGCTGCGAACTGGTTTGATTCTCCTCACCAGTAAACTGTTTTGGGTACTGTATGATCAGTACAGTTTTAATGGGATGTAATATAGCTTCAGGGCGTTTTGTTTGCTCTGGTCCGTCTCAGTGGATGAGTTGGTAAACTTGGGCTTTCCCGTGTTATGGAGTGGCCCGGGCTGGGGTGGAAGTTAGAAAGTAAACACAGGAAGAAGGTCCTGAAGAAGGTCCCATCTGCTGGAATACAAAGACAACAACATATTCTGTTGCTAGTCCAGCTCAAACCTAGATTTTATTCTTCTGCTACCTGCTGATTTTCGCTGATTATTAAACTCCAGAATGTCTTGTCTTGTTTTGGTCTGTACCAAAGTATGATGTGCTCACTTCTGCCCGAACAAATTGCACCAAAGTGTTATAAGGAAGCGGTGTCCAATTCAACAGAACTAAACAACGCTGATCTGAAAACGCCCTGAGAGGGATGGCGCCAGAATGTTAAGTGAAATCTTACTGGAAGATCAAAGCGTGGTTGATGGACATGCAGAACTTTCAACTAGGAGACCAGAGTTTGCCTCCTATCAAAGACCTGCAATAAACATTTGCATCTTCATTAAGCATCTCCAACATCTTTCCCTGATCTCAACGACGCTGTAGCTGCAACGTGAAGAAAGCAAATCATTTTTAAGATACTGGCGCTGGCTGAAAAGAGAGTATTCATGTTTTTGTCTGGTGATAGGTTGCTTTGAAAGGTGTTGGGCCACCGCGAGCGTTCATAATTGCACCAGCGCTCCTTCACATTGATCCTACAAGTCTCTTGAGCTGCACTGGAGGGATGGACACCATTCTTCTGAAGTATATTCCCTCATTTAGTGTTTTAATGTGGGTGAGGGAGAGCGTTGTCTGACATGTTGGTGCACAGTCTACCCGCAGGGGTTCCTTTTTGGGTTGAGATTTGACTGGGCAAGCCATAACATACAATCCACTCATCAAACCATCCAGTGAGCCTTCAATGGGAACATTATTTATTAAGTTTCTTCTTTAATTAGTCACCTGTGAATAACCTCTGATCCAAAATAGCACAAGAAGTGTTAAATCATGTCTGAATTCTCGGCAGCTGACATATTTTTCAGTCAGAAACCGAGGTGGGATGCTCACACTGACTTTGTGCCAAATGGTTTGAACCTGAACATTTCACTCTGACTCACTCACTTTGGTGAATAAAGGGCAGGCTAATGAAATCAAGTCCACTGCTCACAGGAGCCATAAAATGTCTGCTTTTGTACCAGAGCTAATTATTCATCAGGGCTGTGCTAAAGATTAGTGCGGATAAATATGAAGAAGCAAATCCTTTAAATGGCTCTTTTATTGTTCCCTTACAATCCCCCCCCTCATTTTAGATACGGCACAGGCAGGCACCCTTGTGAAATGACTCTAAGCCATTGTTCCTGTGTTATCCAGAAGACACGAAAGGCTAGTTAGCGCTGCCTTTGATAGAGATGCCCGGCACCATTTTAACATTTGTGTTATCAGCAAGACGGAGAATTACCAGGGCTGGGATGGGAATAAAGCCACTCGATCTTCTGTCTCCCTCTCTCTAGGAATAAAAAATAATAACGTGCATTGACTGTGGGCTTATCTTGCTCTATTGTGTCACAAAAACTTTTCATAAAGACATCTCAATGCGCCATGTGCATAAAGCATATGTCAACCTCCTGAATTGACAAAGTGCTGCTTATTCCACACAGTGGAACACACAGCGATTTTGCAACTTATTAGAAGAGGGAGGTGATAGTATGTAATACACAGTTAGATTTATTCTTACGCTACAAAAAGGAATAAGAACAGTCTTAAAGCAGATGCATGGGAAGTCTGACTGAATACAGTGATTAAATCAGCAAAAACCCTTTAATCAGCACACTTGTTTGTAAACCCAGCTGTGCAATCTCAAAGGCAGTACAGTGAGGTGAGCCTGAGGAGCAATGGGGTGGCTCTCTCCGAGCGGCTCACCAGCTCTGATGCCCCCTACAGGGCAGAAGGCTCCTAACCACAGAGACCTGCAGCTGGAAGCCTGCGGTTATTGAGTCCATTGAGCTAAAACGCTAAAACAGCAGAGAAGTCAGCAGCCTGCCTGCTATAGGCTTAACCCCTCAGGTCCAGTGACAGAGGTTAGAGAATCAGGATTGAGGAAGTTTCAGCTATATGGAGCTGAATTTTCTGTGACAGGAAGTTTCAGTTCCTGTTACTGAAGAGTTGCACAAGGACAGAAAAATAATATGAATGGGGGTTTTGAGCAGAAGTTTTGCTGTTTCCACTTTTTTTGTTTTTTTTTGTTGTTTTTGGGGTTTTTTTTGTTTTTTTTCAAATAAGTCTTCTGAAAGGAAAGTCTGTATGTATGCACTGATTCAGAGGCTTATTCATAATGAAAAATTTGGGCACCAAAAGAGGATTTTTTTTTCTTCATCCTCTTTGCTCTGTCAAGAGTTCATTTAGTCCAGCAGAAGTTTTCATTCCTATCAGTCTTGTTTGAATCATGACTAATGAATATAGGATACTATAGACTTGTTGCTCCTGGTTGGTTTCAAATCTAACACCTATAATGTTGATGACTCTCTCTCTCTCTCTCTGAGATCGTGTACTGAATGACATATGCTGTCATTCACGAGTCTGTGTGTATTTTTGGCACAGGCTGAAGTGGGTGACGGACAGATTGCTCATACACCAAGAGAGAGCAGCTTCTTTGTTCACGGAAACAGCACTGAGACCCTTGGGCCCCTATAGGCTCCCAGAAAACTACATCTGCCCATATAGTACCTCTATAGTATTGTTATGATGTTGCTATAGTGACTTGTAGTGTGTGCTATGCTCAATAGTGACCTTACTGCACGTTATTGTATCTGATTTATCTCCTATGATATCACTTTAATTATCCGACAATCCTCCTGTATGGAGTTGCAGGTTTACCGGATGCTGAGGGTGTAACAGGATTCCTGTAGTTTCACATAAGGGCAGATAAAGCTAAGAAACAGTCTCTCTGAGTGATTCGGTACAAATAAATAAAAAAAACGCCAGTGCAGAGATGCCGTCGGGTTAGCGCATTCTCCGTCTAATGTGACTGCCTGACGCGTCCTGTAAAGGCTACAGACTGGCAGAGTGGGAGAAGCAGCAGGGTGAAATCTGCATCTTGATTGCAGAGACACCCCCTTCCACACACCAGCACACACGCGCGCGCGCGCGAACGATCACGCGCGGCCGCGTACTCATCCCTCGTAAAGAGGCGTGTGGGTCTGGCAGGGACTCAAACCCTCTGCATTTGCATCAGCGCAGGAGCCGAGAGCGGTGGCGCACGGAGAGACGGAGACGGGAAGGAAAAAAAAAACTTACGTTAGATCTGTAAGGACTTTGTTTTTTATCTATATTATTATTTCCCTTCCTTTGACATTTTTGGGACTGTCTATTTTACCTCACACTGGCCGGGACTTCACTTGTGACAGCGCTGAATGGGAGGGAGCGAAACGAGGAGACCCGGAGAGAGCTGCGGGGAGGAGATTAGTCTGTACGCGGAGAGGAGAGTGAGTCTCCGGGCATCGGCTGTGCGTCTTTGCGCGGTGGGGACCCAGGAGCGGGTTGGACTGCGCTGTGGTTCTTCCCCCGGCTTTTAAAAAAAAAAAGGGGGTTCGCGGGGGGAGATAACTTGACTCGCTTTAGCGCGGACCCGGAGAAGATTCGGTGACATTTGAACAGAATCGGAGGAAGTGTGTCGGATCGTATAGACTCTGCTCCACGCATGTTGGAGGTGGAGAGAGGAGGGCTGGATGCCTGCAGTTTGCGAGTCCTCAAGGCGCAGGTGAATGCAGCTGTTTTTATTTGACTTATGCAGAGGGGCGAAAGAAATACTGCTGCGTTACCTCTCACTGCAATTACAACAGCTTTTTTTTCTTCTTCTTTATTTTCCATGATATCACGTTCAGTTTGACACATTTGGCTGATATGATCCCATTATTGCTTTAGGGCCATCTATATTGTGCTTTTAAAATGTACAAATTACAACATCCCTACATATTAAGAGTCATTTTTCATTATCATGTTTTGCCATGCATTGTGTTTGTGAATGATTGTGCAGCACAGGAGAGCATGTGCAGGCTCAGGTTGCTTTATACAAGCCGGCCCCGGCGTTTTTTGTGCAGTGTGACCCAGTAAGGGCAGCCCGGAGTAAACGACCGAGGCTTACTATAATATACGCTTTAATTGATTTTCCCTAAATTTCGGAGTGCCAGTTTAATGGTGTCACTGTTGTGGGGCAGGCTTTAACGGTCGGGCGCATCTGGATAGCTGCTGGTGCATAAAAGAAATCGACAAGGAGGGAAAAAAAACAACAGAAAACATTTTTTTCTTATTTAGGTCTTGCGCAAAAAAAAAGAAAAAAGAAAAACACTGGGCCCAGAATAAGCACTGCAGTACAGACATGTTTCCAACTGAGCCGGGAATCAGTCTTATGAGTAACTTCTGTTGATAGGCAGTTCAGTGTGTCACGTATAATGATCAGTCCCACATAGAAGCGGAAGAGGACATCCTGAGGAAATACTCCCACAGTATTCCTCACAATCCAAATTCAAAATAGAACATTTTTTTAAATGATTCATGGCGGCATTTTCTCCCAATAACCTGTTTTGTATATATATGTGTGTGTGTGTGTGTGTGTGTGTGTGTGTGTGTGTGTGTGTGTGTGTGTGTGTGTGTGTATTTTTTTTTAAATATTCCTACAGGGTGTCCTGTCGTGTCACTACATCTTCCATTAATGTCTAACTCCCCTTTTGTAAGAGAAGATAGAGAGAGGGAGGGAGGGAGAGAGAGAGAGAGAGTGAGTGAGTGAGTAAAAGAGAGAGGGAGGAAGAAGGGGAGACAGAGAGAGAGAGTCATGTCACTTAACGGACTGCTGGTGCTCTGTGACTCAGTGTGCTGCTCCGCTTACATATAAAGACACGGGGCTTTTACCACTTAGGTTGGCTATTTGTAATCAAGCCAATCATAAACCTCTTCGACTCCCCGCTCTGAGCCTATAGAAGTGAAGCGGTCACACTTTGGGGAAGGGGTGTATCCGTGCCTTTATAGTCTTATGCGTATCGGCAGCGGTTTGGACAGATTCGGGGGGGATGTCCAGTGCGCACGGCGGCATCAGGCTTTCATAACCTGCTCACATCTCTCCGTCTGTTTCTCTCACCTCCACAGCCAAGGATTACCCCCTGCATCCCGGGCATCGTTTGACGGAGTAAGGACGCAAAGGGAGTGGGTCATTTCTTCATATTCCTCGCGCTTTGGCTTCTTTGGAAAGGATATGGCACGGTCGGCGCTGGAGAGAGGAGCGCAGCCGGCACAGGCGAGAGGAAACAGGAGCTGAATGACAGGATGCCAGCGACCTGAGCCCGCACTCAGATCAGTTCCAACTTCGTTAAAAGAGACACTTGTGCTTTATTTATCGAGTTAAGAGGAGAAAAGAAGAATACGTGACCAAAAACCTTTCGGAGGAGTTTCATTTTGAGATTTTTTTTTGTATGCGTAATTTTATTTTTTTGGAGATAAAACAAGGATGCATTGTGGATTAGTCTTTATCCTGTTCATGGGAATCCTCTTGGTGGTCAAGGCTTTCAAAAACGGTAAGCGTGACATCTGATATCTATTTAAATAAAGCCTTTATGTACTCTGCAAGGCTACTAATCCCAATATTTTTTTAAAAGATTAGCTCTCTCTGATCACCGCTGATCTTCTGGCAAACGCGCAGGTCGCTCACCTGATCGTTCTGCCAACACTTACAGAAACCCCCTTCTTCTTTCTATAGAGATCTTTTAATTGCGTTTCCTCTTTTTTCTTGTTTATCTTTTTTCTTGAATATTTAAAATATTCCTGTGATGTTCTTTGTGATGCACTGTTGGATAGTGAGTTTATTGTGAAAACGTTGTTTACCTCCTATAACACAATTTGAACAGCCCTATTCTTAAATATGGCTTTATTGGATTTATTCAGGGCCCATTACAGAATCTTGTGAGACTTTTAAGAAACATAACGTTGTTCTTTCAGAGTTTATTAAATGATTGAAATCGGATTCCGTCCAGCTATCAGTCACCAAACTGTTGGGTATTTCTGAGAGAGTCACGCTGAACTTCCCCAAGTTCTTTTCTTGCAGCATCAGTTTCATTTCAGCTTTGCGCAGTTTTTTTTTTTTTTTACCTTATTCGCTTTATTGCAATTTAATAGATTTTTTTTAGAGGTGTGCGCACAGGTTAGAGCAGCAGATGGCGGAGGCTTTTGTAATAAAAGGATGAATACAGGCGCAAATGAAGATAAATGTGAATGGCAGAAGCAGCAGGCCTCTGAAAAACAAAAAAACAAAGGATTATTCCTTTTGATGATGAAACGTACTGTTGAGGCAGGTTTAAAGGAACAAACTGTGGGACCTTGTGACTTTTGGCTTCAGCAGAACAAAACTTTCCCTTCAGACCTTTTTTTTTTTTTGGATTGTTTGTACTCTGCATCAAACTGAAACCTAAAAGCCCCCTTTCTCATTTTTATGTAAGGAACCAAAAGAAGAATGAAACAATTGTCTACTTCATGGGCTCATCATAAGCAATACTCTATTCTGTTAGACCCAGTATTACCATTATTAATAATACAGAATGCCAAAGTACATACAGACCCTTTAATATTTGTTTGTCTTCACCAATTTGACTTTGTAAAATGGCTGAATTGGATTTTCTTCGATAGATAGATAGATAGATAGATAGATAGATAGATAGATAGATAGATAGATAGATAGATAGATGAAGTTTGTGTTGTAGTTGTGTGAGGGGCTGTCCTGTAGGCTGCCATAGATCAGCCAAATTCCCATCTTTTCTTTAATGAACTCCTTTCACTCGCCTCTGCAGACAAATGTGGAGGCAACATCAGGATCTCAGCTGCCAACTACCTCACCTCGCCCGGATACCCCATGTCTTATCCCCCTTCTCAGAGATGCGTGTGGGTGATCTCGGCGCCTGGTCCTCACCAGCGGATCCTCATCAACTTCAATCCGCATTTCGATCTGGAGGACCGGGAGTGCAAGTAAGTACAGCATGAGTTAGCCATCTTGTCTATGAAAAGCAGATGTGTTTTTTTTTTTTTTTTCTTCAGCTCGTTGGTTCTGTGAGATTTTGTCCCTTGGGCCCCCAGTCTGATCTGAAGTTAGTTTTATGTGGGATAGGGTGAAACCTCTGATCAGAATAGTTAATCTCACATATTTTTCTTCTGCAATCAAATGACATAACAAAATTACAGTAACTGAACTGTCTCTGAAACATCTAAAAGACACCCACTTGGCCCCAGACCTGCCTTTCTTCTGGGAACCACAACACTAGAAGAGGCTGTGTTAAATAATTTAATCCAAACATATGCTGTTCACACACAAATACATACGTTTCTTAATATTGTATACGTGTTTTTTCTATATACAGTTCGTGTGAGGTTTATTGCATTTATGCGTGTGTGTGTGTGTGTGTGTGTGTGTGTGTGTGTGTGTGTGTGTGTGTGTGGGTGTGTGTGTGACTCTCCCTCCCTCCCTTCCCTTATGCATATTGCACATGAAACTGCGCCATCTAGTGTCCGCTGGCTCTGTGAAGCAGTGTTGATGTATTCCCGCTCTGGCACTACATAGGGCGGCAGGAATGTCTCACCCCTGCCATTTGGTTTTGGAGTGTCCTCGCTTCTCGTCTTTGTAGAATGAAGTCACCGGGCTATAATACTGATTTGAGCTACGGTACTTTTGCAGAAGGCTTCTGGGGGCAGAGCCGAGGGGCCAAAAACTCACTAGAGGCCATTAACTGAAAAAAATGTCCATCTTAATAAGCCATTTACTTTCATATTCTCTCTTAAAATCCCATTACTCTCCAAAACAAGCGAGAAATTGCAAGAATGGATGACATTAAAGAACAAATTTCAGTTTATTTTAATGAGGCAGTCGCTCTGTTAATGTCAGAGCTCGAAACAAGTACAATTACCTTCCTCCTCTGGGATTTCTTTCGACTCAAAACGAGGTGAAATAACTCTTTTAAGGTGGATCTCTCAGTTACAGGTAGTTACTGATCCTTATTTGACTGGTAAGCCGCGAGCTGTCACATCTGACAAAAGGCTAAGCAGCTAACCTGTTGTCAGATAGATAGTTTAAGCCGATGAAACCGGAGACAGACAGTAATGTGATGAGCCTGTGTCAGTGCCGGTGCCCTGAGGTGAGCCTTGCCTGGGCAGAAAGCCTCGCTCTGATTGCCTTGTCTGTGTGTCTGTGATTGTGTGTGGGTTTTTTTGTGTGTGTGCGTGTGTCGGTGCCTCAGCCCCGCTCTGTCTCAGCTGTTTGTTTACGCTGCAGGGCTCGGGAGAGAACGGGGCTTTGCTGGATCTTGTTACTGTATCCCTGTTCCACCCAACAACAAAAAAACCTGGACCCTGCGCGTCTTTTGTGCTCCTTGAATGGCCCCGGTGTACGTTTGCAGGGGTTTGGTTCTTTAATCCCGGATTTCAATCCCACTTTAACCTTTTCTTTATTGCTGTCAGAGATTTATGGCAGAGGGAATGGTGCTGTCTCTCTGAGCCCGGCTGCTCCTTGACACTTCTTTTGGGTCCAATTTCAGCACCGGTGGGACCATTAAACTGTCTGCGATCCTCAGTTAGAAACAGAGAGCGAGGAATGGGGTATGAGTAGGGGTGTGTGTGTGTGTGGGGGGGGGCAGTAACAATGCTTGAGCTAATCAAATTAGTCAGGAATGAATTTCCTGTGTCTAAACACACGCAGTAAAAAGAATTCAGTCCCCGCAGGCGCAAGGAAGGCAGCTTTTTTTTCCAGGTTGAGAGGAGGGCGGGCTTGGAGTTTAGTGATCCATCGATGTATCATTTACAAATTAGCTCTGCTCTTTCATTCAGCAGCCACCGAATTTGCAGATTGGCAGTTAATTGGCTGTTCATAAATTTGTTAGCAGATGAAGTTTGTGCAGTGGATGTGTTTGCATCTGTGAAAATCTCCCTCTCAGTCTCATCATCAGTTTTTTTTTTGTTTTTTTTCCACTTGTATATCTTTCTATGTGCACATTAATTACATTTGACACCGACACAACCAATAGTGTGGTCAGAGGAGCTGCCTGTCTGGAGGATAAGCTAACAAATGAGCCAGGCTGTGAAACTTGAGTGAGTCTCTGATCCACGTCGGCCACGCAGAGATTGCGCCGGGAAACGGGGTCATACTGACCCACAGCTTTTTTCCTATTTTTAATGTGGTTGACCGTTTCATTTTTAATGTTCGTGGTTTTTCTTGGGACTTCAGTTCCACTTCACAATATATTCCACCTTGTGCGGCTTCACTTTGGCTTTAGCCAGCAAAGACAAGCCACTGAGTGAAATCCATTTTCCATTTCCCCCCCTTAATTTCTTTTAAATCATGGCACTGTGTAACATGAGGGTGGGTTATTGTGTTAATCGCTGACAAGGCATGTCATAGGTAACTCAATTATAAGCAAGGGAATAGTCACTTATGTATCTGCAGACAGTAGTTGGGTATGATTTGTTTTGGACTCATCAGACTCCCTGTCGCAACTCCACTCACCAAAAGCTGCCCTTACATAATGGAAACTGATGAGAGTCAGAATGGCTTCCTTATCTGATGGACTGGCAGAGTGGGTGGAGGCGCAGGGGGTGGGGGCTACAATGCATGCTTCAGTGCACCGCCTTGCAATCTAATTAGTGGGCAAATGGAACACATATGCACCACATGTTCCCCAACATGGCTGTTATCAGCAAACCAAACAAGAAGCACTCAAAGTGGTGCTCGTAAAAAGAAAAACAGCCTTCATCCGAGCGGAGTCTGGCCGCGGTGGTGTTGTTGCACGTGTGCGCTACCCTTGACAGGTTTGTTTGGGGAAGTGAAGAGGCCTGTATCCTGAGAGCTGGAGGAGGAAAACACTTCATCACAGAGATAAGGAGACTAAGTGAGCCCTGTGATTCTGAATGCAGAACGTGTTTACCTTTCACGCACCGTTGTAGACTCTCGCAGAGTGGAGTTTCAGGGGCCACCCTCGCCGCTCCTGCAGCTAATGAAGTTTGAGGCGAAAGGCGCAGCCGGCATCAAGGCAAATATTTGAAGCCAATTCGCTCTGAAAAATCAGCGGAATGCACAAGCTAAGCTCAAGTGAAAACTGAAGTAAATAGATATGCTTCTGCGCCGCCCCCCCTCCCCACGCACCCGTTCTGTTTCTCTGTTATCTGATTGTGGCTGTCAGCCTCGTCTGGCTGTGGCAGCTCCGACATCTGAAGGAAAAATTGAGCTTTCAGTGGATTTGAATCTAAACAAGTGGCAGACAGGTTTCACATAAGGCAGATTGAAGGGCAATTGATCTAATTTGTAAGACGCAGTGCGGTTCTTATTGTTGAGGTAATATTTTCTGTGTAGAAGTCGGATGAAGTTGGAGTTTCCAGAGTTTTGAATTCACTCAAACTAGAGCGTTTCATCCTGAGCTGCGGGGCTGTTCTCTCCACCTTCTCCTCTCCTGCTGACTTAAAGAGGAGAGCCAGCTTTCTATAGATATGATGTAGCCTACTCCTGACAACATTATGAATCATTGATGGCATCAGATTTGCTGACCAGACTGAAAAAACAGTTCCCGTACTTCTCCAGCACTCTGAACTCCCTTGCAGCCAGTCAGCCAGCCAGTCAAGGCTGCACTGTTTGTTTTGGAGGCGCAGGAGAGAGGGGTTAAAAACAGAGGGAGAGAGAGTCTCCTTTTTTTCTCAGCCCTCCCTCATTTCTTTGCTTTTCTCTCCGTCTGGATGGTATTTTTTGGACCTCACAGAAATTCCACTGTGACAGTCTGAGCAGCAGATGAGATGTATGGCAGGGTGGTACTAGGCAGTAGAGATATTCGAGGAATGCCTTCTCAAGCACCCCTCTTTGTGGGGGAGACTGTTGCAGAAAGTCAGCGAACGTCTGCTGCCCTGCCACACTTCAAAAGTCTGCGAGAGCCCCCCTGCTTGTAGGAGCCTGTAACTCAAAGCTTGGAAAAGCACTTTTTTTCCTCTTTTTAATTGTAGTCATCTCCTTTCTCTGTCCCTCTGCCCCTTCCACTCTGATCTCCTGCTGAGCTGCCCCCGTGGAGCTGCCTGGCCTGCTGGGAAGGCAAACATTCTCCGCTATGTACCCTCTACAATAGACATCCTGCCCCTCCTGGCATTCCTGACCAGGCGGGGACTCCAGAGATGACTAACAGGAGCCTGGGGAAGGGGGAGTGCAGTATTAACCTATTCTAGATCTATAGTTGGCTCTTTCTTTGTCATGTGGAATCCCGCTAACTCCACTCATATGGCCATAGCGCACAACAAAGAGGGCCACCTGTTCTTAGGAAGTGAGAGTGGGCAGAGGAGGCTACTTGGCCACTTTCCCTAATCCCCTGTTCCCCTTCCACCTGAATAGCATGAAGCAGCTCCACAGGAAAGAGCAGTGGAGCTTCACAGCTGGGGAGCTGGGAGGAATAACTCCTCCCTAGCTCACCGCTCTTCTCACGCTCCCCCTGCAAGGCAACCGTGGGCAAATAAGGAGAAGTGGGCTGCGTGACCATTTATCAGCCGTTGTCATGGAGGAAAATAAATATGGCAGTAATGCAAGAGGAACCTTTTTTTAACAGGCCGGTGGTGGCGGCGGCGGCTTTTAAAGACGGGAAGTGCTGTGACCTCTGGGGGCTGGAGGGGGGGGGGGGCTTCGGAGTGACATAGATTGTTGGAGATACTTATGGCCTGTTAGCGGACATTTATTTCTGTTGTTGATATGTACTTCTTTTCAAAGTGAATGTCAGAGAGAGGCATCCACGCCGGGAGGGGAAGGGGGGGTTGAAAGTGACGCCTCAAAATAGGCACAGCAAAATAAGGAGCGCCTAGGGCGACACCACTTCTTTTAACTACCAGGTTTGACAAAAGCAGCTGAAATTATGCACCTGGTATTTTCCACAGCAACGCGCTCCCACAGTTCATAACAATGGAAATCAAATGAAACAGTGCGTCTTGAAAAAAAAGAGCTTGTCAAATGCATCTCA